GCCTATATACTAGATTTTAGAGAAAATCTATTAAGTAGTTCTCTAGATCTAGATCCCTGTCAATCGCGATTTTTGGTGAGATTTTGACTGGCCCACATACTGGGGTGGCCCGCTTACTGGTGAAACACGTTATCCTTTACGTAAGATACGGTATCTAAGACGCGTAACAGTCAGTGCAGTCGGGTGTCGCTGGCCAAGGCCTCATCTCAGAAAGCCTGCAGAAACCGTATTTGTAATTGTGCCACGTACTAACCCGTTAGATCAGCCAGCAAGCCACTTCAGTAAACTTAACGCGACAGACTTTACTAGTAATCAATAAAAGCATCATTAAATTTATTGATATTTGGAAACGTATTGATTACCTAGTTCTACTGCTGACTTTTATTCCTCTATGATGGATTATTTAGTAGTTTAATATTGAGTATCGTGGTGGAGTAATTAGGGAGTATGGGCGTAGAAGGCCCGAAAGGTGCCCAGACAAGGATATAATGTAAGGTACGAAAGGGGAAACAATTGCAACCACAACAACCACACCTACAACACCGACTTACAAGTCTAGATAGTCTTTAGACTCAAGATGAAGAGTAAAGAACTTGTTACTACACTAGGCACGAGCCTCTTCACCTTTACTACGGACAGAACTCTCAACAGCGATAACATTGTAAACCTTACAATTGCTTTTTTCCCATGGCCATAGTCATCGTAAGGAGCTGAATGCCCATACAAACAACAAACGTATCATCACTTGCCTCACTCCCAGCAACAATCTCACCAAGGCACGCTCACTCAATCTCAAACAAATGAAATTCGTAATATCTATCATCATAACCCCACTCAGCCACCAAAAAAGGTTATCCCTCCTTACTGGGGAATAAGCACACCCCTATACCTCATTCCGCCCTCCCTCAACACCTTCATCGCCTCCTCAATCCCCTCCACACTCATCGGAAACTCCATATTAATCGGCTTAATCCCATGCAACGCCGAGAACGCCAACATCTCCCTATGCACCTGCCGTGCCGCCACGACACTTCCCTGCACCGTAATCCCATTCGCAATCAGCGGCATCTGGGGGAACGTGAAATCGCCATCCGACACCGTCAACGGGAAGATTGTCGCATTCGTATTGAGCACGGGAATCAGCAATTTCCAATCCGGGGTAACAGACGTGGTAACGAGCAAAACGTCGACTTTGCGGGACACGGAGAGCTCGGTGGCACCCTTCATGGCAATGAATTCTTTGGCACCCAGACGCATGGCCTCGTCCTTTTTCGAGTCGGAGCCCGAGAAGACGACGACGTCGCAGCCCATTTTCGAGGCGTACTGGATGGCGAGGTGGCCGAGGCCGCCGATGCCCATGACGCCGACGCGCTGCGTGGGTCGCACGTTGTAGGCGTGCAGGGCGTTGAAGACGGTGGTGCCGCCGCACATGAGAGGCGCGGCTTCGGCGTCTGAGAGTTCGTCGGGGACTTTGAAGACGAAGGCTTCGCGCCAGATGGCGTGCGAGGCGAAGCTGCCTTGGTCGAGGTTGGCCAGGCCGTACATTTGGCGCTCGGGACAGTAGGTTTCGCGGCCCGTGAGACACTTTTCGCAGTGCCCGCATGAGTTGTGCTCGTAGCCCCAGCCGACGCGGTCGCCTTTTTTCAGGACTTTGACGCCGGGGCCCGTGGCTTCGATTATGCCGACGCCTTCGTGGCCGAGCGCCATGTCGGAGTGCTTGTAGTGCTCATCTGTGCCGCAGAGGCCGGAGGCAGTGACTTTGATGAGGACTTGGTCGTCTTGGAGGTCGGGCTTGGTGGTTTCGCCCTTGACGATTTTGCCCTCCTTGGAGCCTTTGAAGACTGTGAATGTCGGCATCTTTGGTGTTGTCTGTATCAAAGTTTGAAATCTAAAAAGGAAGTTTTAAAAAAAGACGAAATTATTCAATCGCTTGGGTAGTAAGACTCGTAACACACAAAACTGGTTTGGATAATGATAATGAAGAGAAGTACAGAACAGCGAACACCTCTAGTCTTATACTGAATTCCAAAAGCCAAAACCCACTCATTCTTACACCAACATTACCATACTCTCCCCCGGTCCGGCCTCCCTTAAACCCGTAAACGCCAAAAACGACACCAGCCGTACTGCAAAAAACTTTCGCTATCAACCTAGTCTGCATGACGTCGCTCATGAATAATCCACCAAGGGTCCTGCTTCCGGAACAACAAACAAGCATACCAGGGCCATCTAGAACCCTAGTGATATCTTTACCGCAAGAAGATACAAGCGCCATCTCCCTTAGCCCACTTTTCTTCATGCATCGGCCGCGTGCGCGTGCGCTAAGGTCCTTTGCATGGCGTAGACGGGAAAACGAGGGCTAGGCTATTATTCAGCTACACACATGTTGTGCGTGCAACTAATCAATCCTCTCTGGACATTACTCCTACCTCTTGGTCACTCTTCGTAAGCTCACTTACTCTCCTCTTTTTTTTTCTCTTTCAGCTCACTACATGTGGCATAGTCTACATTTAACCCCCCCAAAAAAGGCTTTGTCTTTGCTACTGGAAAATACTGCAATTGGGCAGTAGTAGAGTGCATATACAGATGTGCTCATCACGATGAAAGAGAGATAAAAATGACTCGGTAGATCTCGGCAACAGCAGTTAACTCCTACCATGGGTATATCGAGTTAGATCTCCGGATTTTTGGTGGGGGATGGGCCCAGCCGGAGAACCGATAGGGCTGTGACATGTGCCAGGCGCGGGTTTTTCTCGCAGCTCGCTCTGTGCATGCGGAGCAGGAATGGAAGACGTTGGGGCGTGGCACCTTAACTCCGTGGGTAATGACGTCATTGGAGTGGGGCTCCGCCCGACAGCAACACACACACATACATGGCTGCCGCGATTCGGGCCTATACATGGGAGAATTTGAAACTTTGAGATTGAGTTTTTTTGGTTTGTAAGATATCTTGCTTACTGTTGTGTCGCTTGCCCATACGGTCCAGCCGAGGTTGATTGCTGTGTACCTTGATTACTCACCGCATGCCGTTCTCTGGGACGCTACCGCTTGCTTGTATGCGAAGCCTTCATTGCTACTGTATAGTCTCAGGGTTTGTAAATTAGCTGCCGCCTATGTACTGGTGGCAGTAATCGATGTTGGAGAGTGCTTACTGTGCAGGGCATTCGTTGTCAAGCATGCTTACAATGCAGAATATTCCATGTCCACATCAAACGGTCGTACCATAAGGCTGGGCTGGTCAGCGCTGGGACGATTCAGACCAGTGTTGTGTGGAGAACTCAGATTGTATGGATGGGGAAAACATGACTGAAGGTAGCGCGTAGTAGCAAGATAGGTTAGGACATGTTCAGCTTCTCGGTGTCCGATAATTAGTTGATGAAACGCCGTGCGGGGCAGAGTATACTAAGGCCTGCTGCGTCGAGCCCAGATCCCAGTTCCCAGCTCCTCCATAAAACATATCGTAGTGGGGATTTTGAATATCTGAGCTGAATCCGTCATCTTACATTCCTCGCCCGAGATATAAGCTCGCCACGAGTCGCGTGCTCCCTAAGTATCCGCTTGTTCCATCTCCGAAGCAGGAAACAAATGCATCAGTACCGGCAGCATATCCTGCGGCCTCATCACCTGTAACGCCTCAATTGCGTTCCTCAATTCCGTGACCATGTTCACGTCCTCCTTGAGCTCATAGCTCCCATTCTTCTGGTCTCTTGTCTTCTCCTTGGTTTGTGGTGTAAACGGGACACGAAGAGCGTCGAGCAGGTCATTCTTCTTGATCTCTTGGCTTTTGTGGGGTATACAAGGTGGACTGTCAGTTCCGTACACACGCCCACTTTTTTCTTGCATTGGCCGTGTACCAGTAGGGATATCCTGCTCCCTTCTCCTTGGAACCAGACTTCCCGCGAACTTGGCTACTTTGATGCGATACTCTTCCTTTCCCAGGTTACTCTCTGCAATATCGAGTTCCTTTTCCCAATCCTTGGTCAGCTTCTTCATGAGATTCTTCAACAACTTCTTCTGCGCGCCACGGAAGCCCGTGTACAGGTCCAATGCGCCGTTCTTCCAGGTTACGATGAAGGTTTCACGGGCATCGAAGAGCAGAGGCGTATTGTGATGCTCTAGGACAGCAGCAAGATACTGTTTCATGAAGCGGTAAGCTGCAGTGTTGATGTGGACCTTTTTGGACTGAGGGGCAGTCGTATCGTGATGGCCTCTCCTGGTCGTATCCTGACTCATCTCCAAGCTCTTGGTCTGTAAATCAAGGGCGAGTAGTGCAATGAACATGGCAGTATTCCACCTCATGGTGTCATGGAAGCGCTGAAACTGTCGTGCTTCATCCAGTCTCCAAAACCAGATAGCCCGGGTTATGTCCATACCCTGCTTTGCCTCATCCTTTACCGGCTTGCCGCCATATTGATCGATAACATTTCTGTTGCGGAGGAAGAAAGGGAGTTGAATGTCAGGCGGTATGTGAGGGATATGCAACGCCCGGGCTGTTGGACAAAAGACATTGGACAGTGTGAGAGAGGGAATATGAAAGAGTGGTATGCCTTGCAGCTTGGCACTGAGCAGGGCGGAGAGGTGAACTTGTTGGTCTTGGCTTGTGCCAGAGGGAGGCTCAGGAGAAGTGCTACACGGCATCGTGAATGCAGTTGGTGGAGCGGAAGAGTCTAAGTAGAAGATTCATCACGATATGTACAGAGTCAATTAGAGAGGTGAGAGGGAAGGTGACGTGACTAGTTTTTTCTTCTCATCTGTTTGTTTGTTTGTGCCCGTCAAAGTGGGAGGAGAGGTGAAGGGCAGGTGCGACTCTCTTGCGCTTTCCTTGGAAGCAAACACGCCTACACCGCTGCCGTGAATGAAGAGACGGCTCCAATACCATGTCGTACTGCTGGCTATGCTTTAGTCTTGCAAAATGTCACAAAAATAAGAGATGCATGTTGATTAGAGGCTACAGGGTGAGCTGACAAGTTCCAGTGGACCAGTACGAGGTCTAGTAGGATATTTGGAGCCAAGGCAAAAGGGGACAGAGGAGATGTCAGAGGAGGCAGATGGAAATGAAGAATGAAAGCAGGTGCAAGTGTGTATTAGTCTTGTCAGTTAGTGTGTGTATGTGCGCACGACGAGTGCTTCTGTTTCCAAACTAGAATCATGCGACGTTGGAGGCCAGGGGAGTGGAATGACACAATTTCCTCGGCGACGAGCGTGTAGAGTGACTAGTATAGTAGAGATGAACAGCGAGCATGTCAGGGTATGGTGGCCCAGATGGCTTACCAGCATAGCAAGTGTAGACGACGGTTCGTTTTAGAGTGGCGGAAGACGTCACACTCATGCGGAAGCCGTTGAGAAGCCAGGACAGGGCTGTTTGCACCTACGCTTTTCAGGGCAAACGGCCCCACTTTGGACCCAAAGCACGCAAACATGGGTATTTTGTAAAGAAGCAGGCTGCGGAATGTAGTCATCTTGTCAGGGAATTTTGGTAGGTACGTGGTAATCGGGCATGGTTACGCGTTCGCAGGCGATGGGTGGGTCCCTGACAGCCACAGGGTGTGGGTGGAAAGATGACGATCTCCAGGGTCAGCCAAGGGAAGAAAATAGGGAGCTGGATGAGGCTGGAGAACAAAGGCAAAGGCATGGCTGACTAGTGAGCGGGTACTCTTGAGATTTGCGCAATTGCTGATCCCGTGTTTCAGATTGCCGTGAAGGTTCGCAGGCACATTACATGTGGGTATGTATCTAAGGAAGTCGACATGGACTTTGCTTGAACGCGCGTTGGGTGACGGCGGGCGGGGAGATGGGGGGTCGTGTGTGTGGACGAAGCGTCGGTTGGCGTTTGGGTGGTGGTGGTAGTGGTGGTGGTGAGATGGGAGGGAGGGTCTTGCCACAGATGTCATTGGCGCATGAGGTGGGCGGCGGAAAAGACGGTACTAGAGAAGGCGCAGCAATATTGAATGACGGCCACGCTGGGGGACAAAGAGTACAGGTCAACGGCTCATGGGCCGAGCTAGCCAAGGGCGAGCATGTGTGCGGAGCGTGTGATTGGCTAGCGAGGGCCGGGTCTTGGCGCCAGGCGAGTTTTGGGAGCAGCCATCCGTTGGTGCCGAATGCACGGATGGGGTCATTGACCAGACTTGTCGTGCCGCAGAATGCCGGATGGCATAACGTTGACATGTTCTGCCGCGAGCTAATGTGGCAGCAGCAGCGCTGACGGGCGACAGGCGTTGCTGGTGCCGTGTGTCCGTGTTGCAGCTGTGGGTGGTGAGGATAGTTGTTGGAGTGAGTGGGCAGCTATGGGTACTCTAGTACTTAGGTAAGCATCATGGCAGCCGTATTCCCGACCAGAGATACGAAGGGCTGGGACGGATGCTTCAGGCGGCGGCCCAAGCGGTCTAGAGGCGCGGCGGTAATTGGCCGCCCGAAATTGTTCCTGCGTGCGAGTGTGGCGAAGCAGAGAGCCGTCGTGTCTGTCGCTCATGTCGCCGCGCCCCCCCTGCCAGCCCTGGCCCTGTCGGCGTGTTGCACATGGTCGCAGAGGAGAAATTACCAGCGGCTGTTTTTAGCAGACGTGAGACACCAGGGGCCGCGAGCAAAAGGCACGCGACGAGGGCTGCAGCAGGGAATAGCCTTTGCGCCCTTGGGGGTTACGAGGCGTGCATTTCGATAGTGAATACGTAAGTACACAGTGCATGCTAACCAAGACGGTACATGGCTGTCATCCAACAAAGTAGGTGCGATACATAGCACATAGTAGTAAACACCAACAAGTTGTATACGGCAGCGTACAGGATGATGGGGACAGCGCTTGGGGCTGGGCAGTCAGCCTGGCTGGACCGCCGGCGCGCACAGGAGCCGCGCGTATTCCCTTTGGCCCACCAGCCCACCAGCCCACCTGTGAGAGGACGGCTGGCTGCGTCTCGCTCCCCTGAGAGAGAGAGAGAAGAGTGCATAGACCACGGTCCATGGGATCCCTCTCTTTCTCTCGTCCCTCGCTCTGCTCAGGCACTCTCAAAACACTTTCAGTCCGGCTGGCGACGCCCACTGAGAACCCCATTGCACTGCACCGCACCGCACTGCACATCCACACATTCACTTTAGCTGGGGCCGCGTCAAGTGGAAACGTCCGCTGATCGCTGCCTGTCCCATCGTTTTGGCCTTTTTTGCTCTTGCTCCCTGCTGCTTGTACTATCCTAGCTGCTAGCCTCCTTCTCCCCAGCAAAGACCCGCCGCCCGCCGCCGCCTCGCTCCTGCCCTGTTTCCTTCCCCGTCGCCCAGCGCGCAACCACCATCTTTCTCGACATCACCACCCCATTTGTCGCTCTCGACAGCCGCTCGCTCTCCCCCAATACCCCACACGCTGTCCACCCAAACTCGCTCCTCGATCCACGCTCGCTGAAGGAGCTTCCCTCGCCGCTGGTCTGGCCGACCAACTTTAGCAGTACTCGTCAGGAGTACGCCCACGCCTACGCCTGAGGCTCCCTGCCTCACCACGCCTAATACACAGCAACAACAACAACAATACGAACAGCCCCCAAGACACCACTGCCCGCCATGCGCTTCTCCTTCTCCCAGTCGCTGCTATGGCTCGCCGCCGTCGCAGCACCCCTCGTCTCTGCTGAGCGCCTCATCGAATCAAAGTCGCTCAACCCTTGCATGGCAAACTCGTCCTTCTCAGCTACCCTCTTCAACGTCGCCTTTACTCCCGGTAACCGCAGTTTGGGCTTCAAGATCGAGGGTATCTCCAACATCGCCGGCAAGATCGAGGCCGACATTGAGCTGCTCGTCTACGGATTCTCCGCCCTGAACCAGAAGCTCGACCCTTGCGGCCAAGAGGAGCTCGAGGGCATGTGCCCCATGAACGCTGGGCCCTTGACCATCAAGTCCAACATCGACATCAGCCAGGATATTATGAGCGTAATTCCCGGTAAGCTGCTATTGCGCCTCGCCTTGTCGCATTCTGGCCGCTAACCTTCCATTAGGCATCGCATACACCATTCCTGATCTTGACGCCGTTGTACGAGTAAAGATCAAGGACCAAGAAACTCATGTCCAGCTTGCCTGTGTAGAAGCAGAACTGTCAAACGGACACTCGGTCGACCAAAAGGCTGTCGCTTGGGTCACGGCCATTATAGCAGGCTTCGGTCTGCTGGCATCTGCCATTACTTCCGGTCTCGGTCACTCCAACACAGCTGCCCACGTCGCTGCAAATGCAATGTCGCTCTTCGGTTACTTCCAGGCGCAAGCCTTCATCGGCCTGTGCGGCGTTCCCCTCCCGCCCATTGTCTCTGCATGGACGCAAAACTTCCAATGGACCATGGGCATTATCCGTCTTAGCTTCCTCCAGAGAATGGCCACCTGGTACCAGCGCGCCACTGGTGGAACGCCAACCACGTACCTCTCGCAACTATCGTACATTTCCGTCGAGGTCCAGAAGAGGAGGAGGGTCAGACGTGCCATCGAATTCACCACCGGAGCTGTCGGTCGTCTCATCGCACGTAGTAACGCTGCTGCCACCGAAGCCCAGGCTGGTGGAGAACGTGTTGTCCTTCACGGTGTTGAGCGTGTCGGCTTCAAGGCCAAGATTGAGACCACCAACATCTTCTTCACCGGTTACATCTTCTTCATCATCTTCATTCTCATTACCATCATTGGTGTCGTCGCCTTCAAGTACATTTGCGAAGGTCTGGCCAAAGCTGGCAAGATGAAGGGTGACAAGTTTGTTGACTTCCGCAACGGCTGGCAGACTGTCCTCAAGGGTATCCTCTTCCGTGTTGTCCTCATTGGTTTCCCCCAGATGATGGTTCTGAGCTTCTGGGAGCTGACACGCCGTGATTCTGTTGGTTTGGTCGTCTTGGCCATTCTTTCTATGCTTACCATGCTTGGTATACTTACATGGGCTTCTTCCAAGGTCGTCCGTATTGCCCAGCGTTCTATTGCCATGCACAAGAACCCCGCCTACATCCTCTATTCGGACCCTGTAGCGCTCAACAAGTGGGGCTTCCTCTACGTCCAGTTCAAGGCCGCTGCCTACTGGTTCATCATTCCATGGCTTGCATACCTGTTCATCAAGGCCATGTTTGTCGGTCTTGCCCAGGGCAGCAGCAAGGTCCAGGGATTTGCCATTGTCATCATCGAGGCCGTTCTCCTCATTGCTGTCTCCGTCATGCGCCCATGGATGGACAAGAAGACCAACGGTTTCAACATTGCCATCGCCGCCGTCAACTTCCTAAGTGCCTTTTTCTTATTGATGTTTACCGAAGTCTTCAACCAACCTGTAAGTCACATGCTACTTTTCTGCTTTTTCTTTTTTTTTCCTTGATCGAAACTAACATGCCTAGACCATTGTCACTGGTGTTATGGGTGTCATCTTCTTCATCATGAACGCCGCCTTTGCGTTCATTCTTCTTATGATGCTTCTCGTTTCATCTGGATTTGCTCTGTTCACCAAGAATCCCGATACTCGCTACCAGCCAATGCGCGACGACCGTGGCTCTTTCATCAAGTCGCAAACCCAGCTGACCACTGAGCTTGATGCTCTTGGCGCAACCGCTCGCGGTGAGGGCAAGGGCACTCACCCCACTGGATCTCGCAGCCGTATCGACGATGACGAAGATTACTACTCCGAGGAGCAGCGTCAAATGGCCTCCAAGGAGGGCAACTTTGGCGAGCACTACGCTGCCGCACCACCACGGAGCGCGGGCAACGACGGAAGCAACCCATCTGCACCTCCCTCGTTTTATGAGAGCCGCAGCCCGGCACCGTCATACCGACCTGGCAGCAACGGCCAGCAGTATCGGCAAGCCAACAGCTCAAGCCCATGGCAACGAGGGGCAGGATATGAACATTGACGCCAGAGCGAGCACGAGGAGCAGGTGGGCCAGATTATCGATTCGTACAAACGCTCCTCGGCCGCTCAGCAACAGCAACAGCAAAATCAACAAAACAGATATTAGGCCATCTCTACGCCTTGTGTATATCTCGAGTATCCATACAAGAATATATTGTAATCATCAATCGAGTTGGGTTTCGCATTGAAGAGTGCGTATGGCACGACTAGACCCTCGCCACTACTAAAGGCGGCATTTCATCTTGGGCATCTCTGCATCCACTTGGGCAGAGCTGCGCCATGTCGCTCTTCTTGTGAGCGATTAAGCATGGAGGCGGATAATGTTACCTGTATATTCATCCTGGCATATACGTAATCGTTCCCTTTCCTCGTGCGCCAGTTTTTGTACTTTCCTTGCGTATGGGTATTTGGGAATTTCCTTTGTTTCTACATGGCGTGTCAACTGGATCAACCTTGCTTCGATCATTTTGTTTTTTTTTGATATCAAGCATGTGTGCGCACATGTTCCGCTGCAATGAGCTGCTGCTGCTGCTGAGGAGAGGAGGTAGGAAAGAGGGGGAGATAGACCTACGCAGAGAAGAAATCAATCATTCAAATAGATTCCACTGCTCTGCACTGTTCTCAGATGGTGACCGGCGACTGGCTTTGACCTGTCAATAGAGTGGACCAGATGATCTCTCAAGGCTTGACGTTGATAGTCGATAGTGCAGCCATGGCAGGTTTGGTACAGACCCCACTTATTGTGCATGCCGGCAGCTATCATGAATGAGAAGACGAGAAACTTGTCGCATCTCGATTACCAAGTTCTGCTCGGTCGACATTCGGTTCGTGCATAATAATTCCCCGTACCCAATGCGAAGGCGGGGAATGGCCGAATATCGCAGCGTGTCGTTGACTTGCTGATCGGCCAACGTCCGCGTGGGTGGCTTGTTGATAGCTCCCGCATGCTCCGCCATGGATCTTCCCCCAAGTCCGCGGTGACTTGCTCTTGCACTCAAGCCTACATCGATTTGAGACCTTGTCTTGAGCATAGCAAGCCCCAACACAACAAAGACGGCTCTCAACGATCCACCAGTCCAAACGCGATGCAATTGACGCTGCAGGAGCCAATGGAAGAACAAACGCCGATTCGCCTCAGCGTGATTGCTTGCCATCTGCTCATGATACTGATTGATGGTGATGATGACGACGACGAGGATTGCCAGCGCATATGCATGGACAAGCTCACAATGCAGGCTGACCATCCACTATCCAGGACAGAGACGACATGCACCTCCATCATGGGGCTGCGAGAGAAAGACATCTCCTAACCAATACGTCACTAGCAAACATGCTTGCTCTCAGACGAGGCGGCACCCAAACGATACACCACGGACGGAGCCAACGATAAGCTAGCGATAACTCAGAACTGCTCCACATGATCCCCACGATCTCATGATTTTTTAAACAATTGTGCAATCAGCGACGACGTCACAAAGGCACGTCGGCATACAGACATACCGGAATATCGCCGAGCGAACAGCTTGTTGACACACACACAACAGCGAGGTTTTTTCGGCGACACTCGCAAAGGCTGCCAAGCGGATTGCCTGAGTTGGAACACCCAAGGGCAAGTAAACCGCAATGAGGAAGCAACACGCCTCTGCAATGGGTAGACGTCCCGCAGCCCAATCAAACCGCGCACGTTCCTACGGGCCTGGGGACTGATTGGAGATCCCAAAGTCAAGGATGCGCCCCCATTTGCACGCCCTAGCCAACAGCTAGTCGCGACCATAACCCGGGAGGGAAAGACGGGTGAATAGGGTGTGACTCTGGAATGCCCCGATCCACCTCAAAGAAGCACATCTGTCTCCTCTCCCACCCCTGCGAATCACATTCCCGACCGACACTTGGGCTAAAGTTGCGCGCGGTTGCCTGCGCCCTGGCTACATCTCCGGGCCCGATGGGTGGTGTCTCACCCGCCCCCCGCAGCCCATTTCTGCTTATAGACCGTTTGCAACTCCGATCCTTTTTCTATCGCCTCTCTGATACAAAACCACGTCCTTTTATTTATTTATTTCTTCCGCTGCACCGCGTCCGCGCGTACCGCGATTCTCCTGAAACTGCAAAACATGCTTCCGCCTACTATCTGGTAGGACGCGCCAAAGTGTATTAGCGGAGGCGTCTCCTTATCTATTGTACCATTACCTGTATCACTGTTTATTTTCTCGCTTTCTTTGTTAGGTCGCTTCTTCCGATTCCGGCACAGGGACTGGGATACCACAATAAAACAAGGCAAAACCCGGGGTGGTTCGGCTTTACACGTTTCCTCCTTCGACTTTCCAGAATCCCGTCTACGTTTCGCATTGGTTCGCGGGGACTATTGGGCAACTCTACGCTCGCATTGTGTTTCAGGACTCAACAAAAAAACCTTAACACGATACACCCGTACACTGTAACCGGACAGTGAATATTTGTCAGACGCGAGCACTGTCAAGTCACAAATGCCCAGGGAGACCATCATGGCAGAACCTCCACGATTTACCTTCCCAGATTCAAGGGAAGAACAACTGAGATCCACATTACAACCCACCATAGACATAGACACAAGGCAGCTGCCACAACTCCACGTACGTACAGATAAAGTAGTAAGAGAAGGATACCATCTTGCTGTTCCTGGCAAACAGCCGGGACGGTCCGCAGCGCCTACTTTGTCAACGCCACCGGCATCGCCAACCAAGCGTCGTTCTTCAACTATGGGTACGCAGGACATCAAAATGCTGCACGACAGTGGTGCCATTACTCCTCCAGGGACACCTCACATCAAGGCGCACTCAAAGAGTAGCTCCACATCATCTGATTTTCTGAGTTCGTTATCGGATTTGCGTCGCGGAAGTTCTGTGTCGTCAAGGGGTCGTCCTCGACTTGATTCACTAGAGAGCACGCCACAGCCCGGTAGCACAGAACTCATAACCTTTCCACACAATGTCAGGGACTACGAGATTTGCAAAGATGACCGAGGACGAAAGAAGAAGATTGGCGAGGGCGCATGGAGTGATGTGTATCTCGCAACCCCGTGTCTCCCTAAGCCCGCCAGCCAAACCTCATCCCAGACTCCCTATAATCCCGATATGACACCACCCTTGACCCCCGTGCGTGGTGCAGACTCGAGCGCAAGTCTTACGAAGCTACCCCCTACACCCATTCTCTACGCCGTCAAAGTCCCCGCCATGACAAGTGCGAAAAAGGTCCTAGGTGCCGAAGCCCGCATCCTCTCCTACCTAACCCGCTTCCCGGACGCCGAACACCACATCGTCTCCTTCTACGGCCTCGACACACGCAACGGCTCACTCCTCCTCCGCGCAATGGACGACACCCTCGAAGGCTGGCTCCAAAAACACCTCAACACACTCGACGAACCCGCCCGTGCCGAAAAACTAACCGCCATCTTCCCGCGCATCGCCCTCGCCCTCATCGACAGTCTCATCTGGATGCAGGACAAACACTGTACCCACGGCGACATCAAACCCTCCAACATTCTCGTCTCCACCCCTCCTTCTTCCCTAGCCCCTAAACCCCTCTACTCGGACTTCTCATCTACAACTCTCACCCTGCCCAACGCCACAATCGACACCAGCACCTCGCCCCTCGGCGCAGGAACATGGGACTACCTCGACCCTTCCCTCCTCACCTCCACATCCACAGCTCTGCCCTCTCACGCCACCGATCTCTGGTCCCTAGCCATCACCCTGCTGTTTGTCGTCCTCGGCGCCTCGCCGTATGATGCGTTTCGCCACAACAAGTATCAGCAGCGCGAAATGATTAAGAGTGGCTGGCCATTGCAGTGTCTGGGGTATGACGAGCAGGGTATGAGGAATATGCAGCGGATTAAGGCGCTGGAGAGGGGGTTGCGGATCGATGTTATGGCGTGGTTTGGCATGGTTTTGGTGAAGGAACAGGAGAAAAGGGTGGGGGTTTTGGAGTGGAGGAGGGGGTTGACTGGGTAGGGGCTTGGATGGTGTGAGTTCAGTGCGATGGTGGCGGTGGTGAAGGTTGATGCCATCCCCTCCTCCTTTTTTTTCTCTACTTCTCCCTCTTCTTCTTGCTCCCCCTCTTTTTTTCCTTTCTTTTTCTAAACTCGCTTACATTCTTAGCGGGGGGGTTCGTCTTCGCGTTCAAAGGTTTTTTTTTCTGTTTCTTTTCCCATATATCCCCTTTTTTGTTTTTCAAATCTTTTTCTTTCTTTCTTTTCAAATCATGCTTTGTTGCATATAGGACTTTCGCTATCGCTAGATACCCCCCTTTTGAGTCAACAACGGATTCTTCATTATAAACTTGGCAGAATATACCGGTAAACTTTCTATTCCATTCTCTCCCATTTTGTGCTTTTATAGCTTTTCGTAATAACATCAATTCGATTCCATGACCCCCTTTTCCCAGAAACGGATTACCTACATATCTACAGGCGGCTCCGGACACAACGGCGGCGCATCACTCGGTTCCTTTGGCGGAACCGGTCGTTTCCCCTGCACCCGTTCTCCTTTAACAAACACAGGTATCACGCCCCCCGTTTCCAGCGCAAATTCCTACATGACGTTAGCACAACATCTCCTCTCCCACGCCCTCTTCTCCAACTAGATGTTACCAAACCCATAGCGAAAGTGCGAAAACAAGGAAAAGAGAGGATACTTACACGATGTCCCAAGCCCACCAACAAACTCCCAATCGCCCCCGAATGACTCGTCATTGACACCACCACCCCGTCGTCCCCTTCAAACACCTCATCCAGCAACACAGCAAGCCGATAATGCCGTGCGGACCGCGGCTCGCGGTAGTCAGGCAGCCACAACTCGTCTTGCTCCGCGAACCCCGGTTCGAACGTGAGATTGGGGTGTGCAGCTTGAATTTGCGAGCGCGTGCTGCGGCGGTCACAAGTGTGAACGCCGAGGGCTTCGCGGAGGAGTTCTTTGATGAAGGGTTTGTAGGGGGATGAGGCGGGGAGTGGGAGGGTGGAGAAGGAGTGGGTGGCTGTTTGGATTGTACCTTTTTTTTGTGTCTGTTAGGACTAATCATACGGTGGAAAGATTTTTGAAAAGGGGGGGAGGGGGAGAACATACGTGTCAAAGGGGAGACGTAATAGGTTTCCGGGACGGGAATCCCGTTTGCGAGTTGAACAGACCAAAGTTCATGCACGGCTTTTGCCTGGGCTTCGCCGAGGGGAGTCAGATGCGCATCTGCCCAGGTTATGCCGTCTGCGCCGTCGAGAGCGGACCAGTAGCACTGTATTTATCTTAGCAGGCGAGCTACACCTCCTTGAGCGCAGCTTAAAGAAGGGGAGAGAAAGAAGAAGAAAAAACGTACATCCCAAGCTTTCGTCCCATACTTCGTTTCCGCAACGTTATGCCAGCCTTGACCGTGGCGACCTAGGAAAAGCACCTTGTAGCTTTCACCGGCTTGCTTGGTCGCTTCGAGACTGCGGACGTACTTTTCAAAGCGTTGCCATTGCGTTCCCTTCTCTTTGCCTTCGTCCGAATCCGTAGGATACGTACGATTGATTAGTCCGAAATTCGAAGTTTTCTATTTCCCAACAAAAGTATCATCAGCTTTTCTCCTCGACACTTCCCTCATATTATCCTTTTTTTTAAATAAAAAAATGATCAAACGTCTTATGCCAGAAAAAACCGGATTGTTGCTCAAATGACAGATTAAGAGGATTTAAAGAAACATACAAAATCAAAATCCTTGTCATCCGTCTCATCCTCACTCTGCTGGAAAAAACCCTTTTGCACAGTGAATTTGTAGTGGAAATCCTGCTCTGTTCCACTACCGCCGTTACCTATGGGTACTGGATCTGAATGCCCCGCAGTACTCATTCTGAGATAAAATATAAAAGTAACGGAGATGAGGGCAATGGATCTGTGCATACATTAGCAAAGAAGGTAGTAGTAAGTCGTGACTGAGGGGTCCAAGAAAGAACAAGAAAAAGGTAAATCTACATACAACAAGGGACCAGCACCAAAGATCCTAGATCTAAGATTATTCGAGGGGATGAGCATAACGTGGGGTAAGTAAGGGAATCCAAGGGTCATATGTTTGGCGGGCATGGCAAGGGAAAAAGGGCGCTAGTAGGCTTGGACAAGCCAATCACAAAGCGGGGCCTCGTCACGGACAGGTGGTCTGGATATTCGCTCACCCATACATTCGGAATGACATTCAGCACACACCCCAGAGTTCCATAGTAACGGAATACATAAACAACATGACGTCAGAAGTGTATGAATTCGAAAAAAGTGGATTTTATTTAGCATCTGGTGCCCGCTCAGTATGAGCCCGGCTATCGCAGCCTGTGCAGTACAAACTAGGCCAGAGCTATGTGATATGCTTCCCACCAAAAAGGGGAGTTACATTGTGATATCCATCAAACGCCCATTCCCAAGCCCGCTAATCCAGAAGAGACTTATTGTAGCCATAGCCACATTTCTGAGCAAAGAAATCTGCTGGACCACAGCCTAGTCGTATTTCAACGCCCAGGCTGAAGTCGAAACAAAGAGTCGCTCATTTCTTCTTGTTTGGGAACTTGGGCTGTCCAATCTTGTCACCCCGCAGGATGACATTGAGCACACGCTCCATGGTTGCCAGCAACTTTTGATCTGGCGCGGCAGTACCGCGCTCAAAGTCTGCTACGATGGTGGGTGTGGTGTTGCACTTTGTGGCCAAGTCCTTTTGTGTCATTGTGGTGCCCTTGTCGTTCTTCGCCTCGGAGCGCGCCTTTGAAATAGCCTGACCGACAGCGGTGCCAACGGTCTTGGGCTTAACGATGTCGTCAGAGCGGTCAACCTTGGTAAGACGTTGGCCTTCTGATGAGGCACCCTATGATTTACTTATCAGTAATGTTTCTGGATGAGGTTTGAGGAACACAAGGCCCAGAGTTACTTACTGCGTTGGCTGAGGCGAACTTCTTCTCTGTGGCAATTATACCGCCGCTTCGCTGCGCGGCATTCAGGGCCGACTTGCCCTTGACTACGGTCTCGCGAGGTCCAGCAGCGCCGCCACGGACACGGCTACCAATCTTGGTGACAGAGTTCCAGTCGTCAGACATTTTGATTATGTGGCCGATAAAAGAGAGGAGCTGAAGTTGGTGTATAGAAGGCTACGAGCGATCTCGACGATGGACTATTAGGCGCTTGTGTTTGACGTTTGTTGGTTGGTTGGTGAAGTGGCCAAACGTGGAGGAGGTGAGCGAGGAGAGTTGGATATATAGAATTGCCAAATAAGGTGGATGGATGTTTTGCTTATGTAGAGGCCCAAAGCAATATGGGCCGCGATGAGTCGAAGCGGCAGGTGAGGTCACCGCCACACGCTAGTCTCGCTTAGGTCAGGGCCTCTCGAAGCTTCCACGTTCACGTTCCAGCTCCAGCCCTTCTTCCGCCCTTTCTTTCACCAAGCCACTGGCTCGTTGTTGTCGCTGACACGAGACACTGATTACATGTCGCCATCTGTAAACAACTAGCCGTTTATTCCCGAGACGTCGCACGATTTCATTAGATCCCCTTGTGCGCGCCATGGGAAAGCTGCAGTTCAGAGTTTCGGCGTCTTCGGAAATTTTGTCTGACCAAGAAGCACCTCCCAGAATGTACGCGACCCAGATGTTTTATCGTAAACAACCTCTTCAGTATACGTCGTCCTTCCTTCTCGATGATGGACTCGTTTGTCAAAAGCAGGAAGATTGATTACCGTTTCAAGCCCTTTGCTTGTACTATTGACCTAATGCTTGGGTGTCTGTTCCCTCTTCGTGGACAGGCGCTGGTGCTTGGGGCGGGACATTAGTTAGTATGTGAAGACCAGTTTCATCACAGGGCATTGAGCATAGCAATTGTTCTCCGTGTCAAAATTTCATTGATGAGCTTTTGCAGCTCGCTTGCTTGCAGCGCGTCTACCTGACCTGATAGCTCATGAACTTTTTGACAAAGGCCTGTCTAATTCGACAAGCGCCCAATCAACCACCGGAACGCCATTGCATGCATGCAGCCATATCGATTCGTATCGCCCGCATCTTTCACGTCCGAAAACCCATTACAAGTTTGCTTGCGCAGCCTCACGCGCAGCCTCGCGCTCAACCTCGTACATGAAGTCGAAGTATGGCTTGTCAAAGTGGTGTACACGTACGTATCCGTCCTCTCCTCCACTGCAGTAGCTCGTGCCCTTTGGGTGCACAGCAACATAGTTCAGGGGTCCGAAGTGACCACGTACGCGACCAATCTCCTCCATGAAGATCTTGTGATAGAAACGGGCCTCGAACTTTCCTTGACGTGCCGAAGTGGTGGTAACATCCATGGCGGCCTGTCCTCCTCCGAGAATAACGTAATCCTTTACTGGTGTGATTGCTGCAGAGTTCAGCGGAGTGTCTGCAACGTATGACTTCAGGACGCTAAGGTCCTCGACGTCGATGAGCTACCATGTGTCAGCCTGATCAAAGTGTGGCGAGGTTTGCGAGTTAGTGTACCTTTGCAGTCTTGTCCTTGCTTGCGGTGATGAAGTACGACCTGTCAGGTGCCCATTGGATGTCGGCTACCAATTGTCAGTTCCTGGATTTCTGACGACAAAACATATAGACACTCACTGATTTGCATGTCTGGCTCGTGTGCATCGTAGTTGGAGCTGAGGAGTTCTCCGGTCTTGCCGTCCCACTGAGTAATTGAGCCGTCTTCGTGTCCACTGATGATGTATTTGGCGAGGTATGAGAAGCCCGCAACGGTCGCCTTGGATTCGTCGCACACAATCCTGAGCAACTGTTCGTCTGATTGTTGCGCCTCAGGGTCGGGGTTGATTTCGTAAACGCAAATGGTCGAGAGATGTCCGGATCGCTTCTCGGTAACACCAAGCAACTGCCTTCCATCGGGAGAGAATTCGCAGCGCTTGATACTGGTGTTGAACTCCCAGGTGTGCAGAAGCTTGCCGGTTGGAACGTGCCATAATCGCATGGTGTTATCAGCGCCACCAGTGGCCAGCAGCTCGGTGGATGGGTTCACGTCGACAGTCCATAGCGCTCCCTGGTGTCCGTGGTATGTTCCTATCCGCTCGCCGTTGTGTGAATCTGTATCGCATCAGCCTCAGTGCCCTTTTTGCGTATAGACAGACTGTAAACTAACACCAAGCGCAGACAACGTGGTCCTGAAAAACTGTTAAAATGGCAAATCTCAAAAATTGGCGGAGTTTCGTACCTTGGACACGGAGAAGATGATGTCGCCATCAGCGTTGTACTGCCTCTTGTCAGTATCCCCTCGTCTCTCCATGGTGCATGGCGCATGCGTACCTTGACCTGGGTAAGGGCGCGCTCGTGACCCGAGAGAAGAATCGGCCTCATTTTGGCGGTATGGGAGTGTGGAGGCGGGGTTGGGTGTCGGCTTATATGTTGCGGGCGGCGTCTCTGAATTTCGGGTGACTCTTTTGCATATCGACGTTCAGCGGGCGAAGTGGGCTGCTTGGCACTAACCGACTAGCGTGGGTTCATCCCGCACTCGTGCATCTGCATCCACCACTGCGGCTCAACACCATCACACTCGACTGACTCACATGGCTCGCGCATTGTACGTCTTCAGGCTGAGCTTACTAGAAATCAACCTTGTGTGTGTTCATACTTGCGGTTGAGTATGAGTCAACCCCTCGATCAACTCGGCTCCCCGTTCTAGATCGAGTAGAACTGGGCACATGAGGAACGCCTGGTGTCCAGTTATGACCGGTTTTGTGACTCACAAGCAGCTTACCGTTATAAGCGAGATTACGGTCGTATATCATCAGCGTGCCGACGGGTATTGCATCGTGAGAAATTCACTTATCTGCCCTATGACCACTTGGCTCATTTGCCCATCAACATACCCGCTGTTTATGAGAGTTGGGTTTTGGTCGAGTACTACTCATGGCTTCCTTGTTTGGTTTCCTATACTTTCCACAAATGCAGTTTCAATGCTTGGAGAAGTTTCGGAAAGAACGTGACTTGTTGGCGCAGCTCCCATCGATTTTGCCATGCCGCAAGGACGTCTCCATTTAATGTAGCTGCTTTTCAACAAGGTATACGATCTCAAATGTATGGCGACTATCAATCTCACTGAAAAACATGTATTTCACCTCTCAGTATTCGCTGGTCCCTGAGCATACATGTCTCGCACTTACCGTTTGCCATGAGTGCGGCCTTGGCACAAATGCACTCCTACCTATTGCTTGATACTGGTAACTTCTTGATATCCAAAGGCTCCTTATACATCCGTGAGCCTCACAATATCAGTCAAAAGGAAAAATATCATCAAACTTCATTCTTTCAGGTTGCTATGAGGAGCGATCCGCAATTCTTATAGCAAGCATGCCTCCTGACCCACGCGATACTATGCTGAGCAGGCTCGAGCCTCTTGACCCAAACAATTACATCATGGCCCTTAGCGCAGGTAGCGATCAATTTATTGGCAGTCCTAACGGCTACAAAGCGTGAGATCAGGTATATGGTTCTGGAAGAAGCTGATTCAGCTGACCATTGCATAGCACGTACATACCATCGGATGTGTTATACCCTCTCTTTACCGGACTCGTTAAACGAATCACATGGGCTTCCTTGAGATGTATCCCTAACTCTTTCTTTTTCGAGCTCGAGCTGATCGATGGACGATTCGCATGCAGAATTGGTACACACATACCGCCAGCCTTGACAGATTTCCTGCTGAATTTTATGAAATCGAAAACCCACTTACCTTATTTGCGGATACGGTATGGAGCAAACGATTCTTTCGTTGCATGGTCAAAGAAAGTCTGGATTTACTCCAAAGTTCCACCACAGCTCATTGTTAGATTGTGAGTAATAAGCCCACTTGAGCCTCCCTGCATGGCTAATAGATTCTTAGGCAGCAAATTAGTTCGTACTCAAACACAAAGTATAACGTTACCAAGGGTGTGTTCAAGGACGAAGCAATAGATGATGTGCAGTGACATCCCAACGGGTCGTTCTACATCAAGAAAGGTGATGGCGACGTAGGTTGGAGCTTTGCTGCATATTCTGTTAGCTCTGCATGGTATGAGATGTGGGCGGATCTGGAAATGGACGAGCGGGCAAGCATAATTGCAGAGGAGCTTGCTGTGAGTATTTCATGTTCATGAGACCTTGTTGCTAATACGCACAGCATGTTACCATCAGTCCGTACTCAGAAAAGGGAGAAACATTTGCCTTCATCAAAAAGACTATACCAGGCATAGAGCCACCGTTCATCGTTCATTTTGAGGGAGAGCAAACATATTCCAACTTCACTTTCGACAAGAACAACACGACTGCCCCTCCAAAGAGATATCCTCGGCTCGAGAACTTGGATGATCGCGACTTTCGGGTAGCTATCAGCAAGAAGAAGATTCGCCGACGTCGTACAAACGACCCATGGGATTTGGACCTGAAGAAGGGCGAGAAACTTCTGGTTCTGCGGGACATGGAACGTGGGTGGCATGTGGCCATGAAAAAAAAAGGTCTCATTGAATGGGTACACAGCTCCTGGATTAACCTTTTGGGACGACAAAGTAGATCAAGATCCTAAAGCGGCATACGCCAGATTCATGGAGGACCTCGGTAATGTACCAAGGCGGAATGCAAGCCGGAAAAGCAAGACGAGCTCCTGTTGGGGATTTGTATTCACGATCTACTGGTACTGCTCGAGGGTTCCGGTAGGTTTTTGTACGAGCGGCTCAAGGAAGGCCGCAACCTCTGGCATCCGGATAGGTTCGCCCGGTTCTGCAAGCCTGAAGAAGCCGAGCGGCTGAAGCCCATGGCTGAGCAAATGTTCCTCATGTATTCGATGTTGATGGATAAATGTACTAGGCGTTAGACAGCGATAGGCACGGAGTTACTTGTGCTGCATAGCTAGACGGACTTCGCAAAAACAAATTCATCAACAGTTATTGCGGGCACTGATGGCAGCAGATGATTGGTCTCGATAACGATAGTTTGGTTAGCGGGCCTGCGCAACGCGTCTGCAGTTGCATAGTTTCCCGGTTCTGACTCGGGATCCCTGGTGTACGTAATAAAGCTCGCGCGAGTCGGGGGCGTGGAAACTTTGGCGGTGGGTGTGTTTTGCGCATTGTCCGGGGGACGCGCTGCTATCGCGGGTGCCAGACTGAGTCATTTCGGACAGACATGGAAATGCGTATATCACCGCATACCCACTAGACTTGGAAAAGATACGCAGACTCCGTCGGCAGGATGATGAGAGTCTACCCAATCTGCGGTGCGCGTCTTGGAGTCACCCGCCGTTGCTTTCCGCAGGCCACAGCTACCCCACCGAGAAAATATTGGTGCTCAACTTCCCCCCGCCATCTATATACCGTCCTCACGCCGGCCCACTGCACAAGGCAATTCTCCAGTACGCGCTTCGTCATGGCCGCACAAAAGATTGACGGCACTGCCATTGCGAAGAGCATCCGGGAGCGCCTGGGTGCAAAGATCAAGGACAAGCAGGCAAAGAACCCGCGGTACAGGCCCAGCCTGAAGATTGTCCAGGGTGAGTGACTTGCCATTGGGCTGGCCCTTGACGCTGCGAGAGGCTGACACTACGCAGTTGGCGACAGGTCAGACTCCAGCACCTATGTGCGCATGAAACTCAAGGCCGCAGAGGAGGCCAATATCGACTGCGAGCTTGTCCACCTGCCCGACGATGTGACCGAAGCTGAGCTTCTGTACAAGATCGAACAGTACAACAACGACCCCGCTGTTCACGGCATTCTTGTCCAGCTGCCCTTGCCCAAGCATATTTCCGAGCATACCATCACATCGGCCGTTGCCGATGAGAAGGACGTCGATGGCTTCGGTATTCAGAGCATTGGCGAGCTGGCCAAGCGTGGCGGCAAGCCTCTCTTCACGCCATGCACGCCCAAGGGTGTCATGGTGCTGCTACAGGAGGCTGGCATCGACATCAAGGGCAAGAACGCCGTTGTGCTGGGACGCAGTGACATTGTGGGAAGCCCAGTCAGTTACTTGCTGAAGAATGCCGATGCGACTGTTACTGTGTGCCACTCTAGAACAGCCGACCTCCCAGAGGTCGTTCGTCGCGCAGACATTGTCGTTGCTGCTATTGGCAAGGCCCAATTTGTCAAGGGAGATTGGCTCAAGCCCGGTGCCGTTGTCATTGATGTTGGCACAAACTTCATTCCTGACGAGACCAAGAAGAGCGGCCAAAGGCTCGTAGGAGACGTCGACTACGAGTCAGCCGTCGAAGTCGCATCACACATCACACCAGTACCGGGAGGTGTCGGACCCATGACCATCGCCATGCTGCTGCAGAATCTGGTCGACTCAGCCGACGCGACCTTTGACAGGGAGAAGAAGCGCAAGATCACGCCTCTTCCCATCAAGATTGAAGACCCGATACCCTCGGACATTGCCATCTCGCGGAAGCAACACCCAAAGCAGATCACCGCTGTCGCAAAGGAGGTCGGCATTCTGCCCCATGAACTGGAGCCATACGGAGCCACAAAGGCCAAGGTTGATCTCTCTCTGCTGAAGCGTCTCGAGCACCGCAAAAACGGCAAGTATATTCTTATTGCCGGTATCACCCCCACGCCCCTCGGAGAGGGCAAGTCTACAACCACGATTGGTGTAGCACAGGCTTTAGGCGCGCACCTCGGCAAGATATGCTTTGCCAATGTGCGACAGCCCAGTATGGGACCTACTTTCGGCATCAAAGGTGGTGCTGCTGGTGGAGGATACAGTCAGGTCATTCCCATGGATCAGTTCAACCTCCATCTCACTGGTGACATTCATGCCATCACTGCCGCGAACAACTTGCTTGCCGCTGCTATTGAAACGCGCATGTTCCACGAGAACACACAAAAGGATGCTGCGCTATACAAGCGCTTGGTCCCAGCTAAGAAGGGCAAGCGTGAGTTTGTGCCTGTCATGTTCCGCCGTCTCAAGAAGCTTGGGATCGACAAGACAAACCCAGATGATCTGACCGAAGAGGAGATTGCCAAGTTCGCCAGGCTAGACATTGACCCTGAGACCATTACTTGGAGACGTGTGCTTGATGTCAACGACAGACATCTACGCAAGATCACCGTTGGACAAGCACCCACCGAGAAGGGTCAGACTCGTGAGACTGGTTTCGACATCTCAGTTGCCAGTGAGTGCATGGCCATCCTCGCTCTCAGCAAAGATCTTTCAGACCTCCGGGAGCGCCTGGGTCGCATGGTCGTCGCCAGCTCTCGTGCTGGCGACCCCGTCACCTGCGACGACATTGGCGCGGGTGGCGCCTTGACTGCTCTGCTGGTTGACGCCATCAAGCCCAACATGATGCAGACCCTTGAGGGCACTCCTGTATTTGTGCACGCCGGTCCATTTGCAAACATTAGCATTGGTGCTTCTTCAGTCCTTGCGGATAGGATTGCTCTCAAGCTGGCTGGTACCGAGCCAGACGAGGATCACGATGCGCAAGCCGGGTTCGTCGTGACTGAGGCTGGCTTTGACTTCACCATGGGAGGTGAGCGCTTCTTCAACATCAAGTGCCGATCTTCCGGCCTCGTGCCCGACACCGTTGTCATTGTTGCTACTGTCCGAGCCCTTAAGAACCACGGTGGCGGTCCGGACATCAGCCCCGGTGCTCAACTGCCCGAAGTCTACCGTACCGAGAACATTGACATCCTCCGCGCTGGCTGTGTCAACTTGAAGAAGCATATTGAGAACGCCAAGGCATACGGAGTTCCCGTTGTTGTGGCCATCAACCGCTTCGCTACCGATACCCAAGCCGAAATCGATGTTATCCGAGAAGAAGCCATTGCTGCCGGTGCCGAAGACGCCATTCCAGCCAACCACTTTGCCGAGGGTGGAAAGGGCGCCGTGGACCTTGCCCAAGGTATTATTGCTGCATCCGCAAAGCCCAAGCCTGACTTCAAGCTTCTTTACGACACATCTAGCGGCACTGTGCAAGAGCGCATGGAGACGATTGCCAAGCGCATGTACGGTGCTTCTGCCGTCGAATTCTCTGAACTCGCACAAAAGAAGGTCGACACGTACGTCAAGCAAGGATTTGGCAATCTGCCCATTTGCGTTGCAAAGACCCAGTACAGTCTTTCCCACGACCCAAGTCTCAAGGGCGCACCAACGGGCTTCACCGTCCCCATCAGAGACGTGCGCATGGCAGCAGGTGCAGGATACCTATACGCGTTGGCTGCTGATATTCAGACAATCCCTGGTCTCCCCACTGCACCAGGCTATCTGAACATTGACGTTGACGTCGAAACTGGCGAGATTGACGGCATGTTCTAGACTCAGCCCCCATTATACTAAAAACAGCACAATAAATGGGCGGATAAGACCATTACCGGGAAAAGCGGTTCAACAAGCTTTTCTTTACTTTTCTTTTTTCTAAACCCACATCAAGGTGGAAAGAAAGAAGATTTTTCTTGCATTTGGCACGATGAGAGACAATGGAGTGAATGGCGTTTTTTTCTCTTTCTTCTTTTTTTTATTTTTATTTATTCCAAATGTTCCTCTTTGGTATGTATACGGGGGCCGGGCGTTCCGTCCGTCCAACAAGGAGAAGAAAAAAAGAAGGGTTAGACTTTTTCAACAAGTTCAAGGGAAAGAAAGGGGAGCAGGCGGGAAAGGTTCATTCAACACTCACACAAATGATGCATGCATGAATTGTATGTATATGGGATATTTTCGGGCTAGCATCGCTGGGCATAAGCGCCCGTGGTTTTCTTTCTTTACTACTCTCCGAGGAGGAGAAGGGGTAGGGATGATGGCAACTTTGACATGATAGGATGATAGGTGATGAAGTTTATCTAGTATACCATATGGAGATATATATATATATATATATATCACTTGGTTACCTTTTATGCGTAATGAACCAAACTCTCTTTATCAGTTTATTGCAAAATCACACAAAGTTGTCCAAAGTCTGGTGGTAAATCAGGAAGAGAGACTTTTTTTAGACAAAAAAAAAGGTTTCAAGATTTGTCAAAATCATTTCAAAATGGGGGGCAGGACTAATAAGTGTAAAGTATGTTATAAGTGAAAGCACATCAACATTACCCATGACAACAGCAGCAGCAACAACAACAACAAGAAAAGAAAGAAGCAGAAACCTCCGGAACCGAAATAGCAAAATGCATCTTTAGCAGCCGCTTTGTTCATTACAATAATCAACTTTCATTCCACGAAGCGGCGGGTTGTAAACAAATTCGGTCGGGTGTGGTTATGCAAGCAAAGCATCGACATGTCTGAACAGAGCAAAAAAAAAAGACTGTCTCATCAGTCGCCCCTCAAGTCAATACGGAACAAAAACAAGCTGGCTTGTTAACCAAAACATTCCATACTGGTATATCTATTCTTTGTTGTTGAAGGTGCGAATAAAAACCCTAGCAGCTGTCAAGGTCTTTCTCTACATCATGCCCAGATCGGACATGGCCTTGGCATATGTGTCCCAGTCGGTTAGAGCACCGAGAGCACGACGTTGGTGTGCGCTGAGGAGCGTGAGGCCATAGACATAACTTGCGTTGACCCATCCGAAACTAAAATGTGTTGTTAGCATATGCCTTCTCCTTTCACCATGTCAATGGTCACGAGTGCAATACGTACCCTTCGCGAGGAACGCCCTTGAAGTCACTACCCTGGTTACCGTATTCAGCCTCGACCTTGTGCGGGTCCACCTTCCTTGTTACGTCATACTTTTCGACAACAACACCGTTGAAATCGACAAAAGCCTTGGTGACCATGAACAACCAGCGGTAGGCAAGACGCTGGGCTTCCACGTCATAACCGTACCGCTGCATACCAACCCAGGCGAGCATCTGTTGTGGAGCCCAACCAAAGGGATAGTCCCATTGTCGGTTAGGGCGATCAATACCAACCTCGCCACGCGATCTCTCCGAACCCGAAACAAGCCCACCAAAGGCTTCAAGCTTCGGCAAAGCCTTTTCGACAAGGATACTAGCTTGGCGAGGCGTGGCAAGTCCAGACCACATTGGCCAGAAGGTAGTGGCACTTTCGTAGCCTGTACGTTCACGCTTGACCGTGTTGTAGTCAAAGTACATACCGGCTTCCTCGTCCCAGAGATACTTGTCGACCTGAACACGCCGCTTTCTAGCGCGACGCTCCCATGCTGCAGAATTCTCAATGTGACCAGGCTTCATGTCGCCTGTGCAGAATTCCGCTGGGATCTCAAGCTTGTCTCCGAAATGATTACGAATGCATCGGCCGATATCAACTTCGTACTTGTATAGCAGGGCGTTGATGTCGACGACTGCAAGATCTGCAGCAACCTTCTCAAGACGGTAGGAAGTATCGTGACCAGACTCGCGCACAGCACGGTCGTGCAGGAAATAATCATCCAATTCAGGCTCGTGCACACGTTGGTAGTTGTACGCGTCAACAAACTCGTGGAAAGTCATGCCATGTTTGTCAGCATACGGCTGCAAGATGTGCTCAAAATGGGTGGCTTCCGTCTCCGGAGGCACACCCAAGCCAGTGGGTCGGTACCTGGTCAAGCCAGTCTCGGGATCATAACGAGGCGGGCTCATCCAGACTGAGTTATACTCCTTGATGGCAGCAAGAATGGCCTCGCGCAGAAAGTCGAGCGCACCAGGTTCGTGCTTGATGCGTTCATAGCAGCGCAAGGCCATGTCGGTAAGAAAAGGCGGCTGGGAGCGGCAGAGATAGTATGTGCGGTTGGCGTTGAGAATCTTGTTGTAATGCTTGATGCAGAAGCAGAAATGGGTAACCATGGACTTGACCAAGTCGATACGGTCATTGACAAGCAGGCCGAGTGAACACATGTAGCTGTCCCATCCATAGATCTCGTTGAAGCGGCCACCCGGCACTACAAACGGCAGTCCCCTCAAGTCTTTCTTGTTGGTTTCAGGGTCAATCCATTCTTCCATGGCAATGGCAAGCAAACCGGGGGCCTTGTTCAGGTCGCGAACGTATGTAGGGTCGTCGCAATTCTGTGGTAGCCAGATGACTTCAAGGCGCATATCGGGATGCTCGCGGGCAATGCGCGTATAGTACTCATACTGCTCGGGGGCGCCCTGGGGAATGTATACACGAGGATGCGGATCGTCAGTCCAGTCCTTGGGGTCGACGGCGACCTTGGCAATGTTGGAGCCATCGATACGGCGTGTCAGGCCATCCCAGAAGGAAAACTGGATGAGGCGACTGAGGCGGTTCACGGGGTTCTCATTGAGGCGCGATTCGTCGAGGACAATGGTCTTGCGACCATAGTCCTTGGCAAGTGTGAGCTCCTGGAGCAAGTTGGAGAGCATATAGGTGCCTCGGACATCGTGCTTTTTGAAAGCGTTGGAGCCCAGAGTACCGAGAGATAGGGTCTACGTGAGTGTCAGCCATACTGCGAGTACATGTATATAGATAAGAAGAAAGGGGCTTGTGGCGTACCTTGGGGCCTTTATCCTCAATGGTGATTTGATAGTTTTGGTCAGAATCCTCACGGGCGAGAAGCTGGGCGAGGGTCTCGTCGACGTTGATCTTGAAGCGGCGCGGCTGCAGCGAAGCCTCATCTAGAGACAATGTCAGCGCATGGCCAGAGGTATATGCTGCCGTTGTACGTACCGTGACTGGTGCGGCGGCCAGCGGGAATACCCTCGCTCAACGGGGCATTGCGGGTGGATTGGTCTACGTTCTGCTTGGTGTGAGCAATGTAGGCAATGGGACGAGAGGGGGGTGGGCAATGCTCACAGCCGAGTAGGTTCTCGCCCTGGGATGTTTTTGCGAGTGACTCTCGCCATAGTAGATGTGCGGCGCAGCGTACGGGTCTGTCACAGACGAGGTTCGGCGAGTTTTCAAGGGTTGCGAGCTCATGCTATGGGGGAGGGAGGACGGAGCCACCGATCAAGCGGGAGGGACAGAGTGTGAAGTGGGAGGGTTGGGGCTGAGGCTAGGTGGCGGCGGTGGTGGTGGTGATGACGATGGAGGTTGCTGGAGCTGGAGCTGTGAGAGTGAGAGCGAGGGAGAGCTATGGCGTATGTACTGGGTCAAAGTTAGCTGAGACGCTCAATGCGGCCGGACTGGGGTGGGGGCGGGGCGGGACGTCTTGGACGAGGGCCGGTGGAGGGCATAGGGGCGACGGACCTTGTGTCAGCGGGCAGAAAGCCGTCGTGAGGAGGGATGCAGGTATGGCAGGGGCGGAGGGAGGAGGGAGGGAATGCAGAGTAACCTGGGGCGGGTGTGGAGGCAGTTTTGACTGATGGCAGACGGGCAGGTGCGCCGATGGCTCTGGAGGACAGGACATCACGGCAGGGCGTCAATGGTGGGTCTGTCTTTGCTCAGCACGATAGCACGATAGGGACCAACAGGGCCAGGCGGTGAGGGCGCTGCATTGTCATTGTGCCAGAACCCACGCGTGGCATGGGCTGCTGGATGTGTGTGTGTATGTGCTCTCTCATCCAGGCACGCCCGTGGGGGGAGGCGGCGGCGGCGGGCGGAGCGAATGGTAGCTGGGCACACGCCCGAGTACTCGTCGTTCCGTCCCGCGCCATGTTCCTGTGCCTGGTGCCCCTTCCTGCTTATCGTCGTCGTCGCTTCCTTCTCCTTCTTCTTCACGATCGTCGCTTCCCTCGCCGTCTCAGTCTGCAGTCCCTCCCCGTCGCTCCTGCCCGCTAAAGCTTCCACGGCCCACACCTTGGCCAACAACCCCACTGTTACGTCATGCCCGTCCTCCGTTCCTCTCCTCTCCGCTGTCGGTGTCTCGACTCCGTGTCTCGCATCCCGCTGCTTCAATGCCTCTCCTCGGCCATTGCACTTTTTTACCTTTGGTTTTTTATCCCGACCCTTGCTGCAAGCCTCTTTTCCCCGACAGCGCCGCACCCTGTGACTGGCTCGGCTGCGAGTTGCCCGGTCACCGGTACTCTCCCCGCATGCATCCCACGTCCAGGATCACCACCCTATAGCCTCTCAACCCCCAACGCCGGCTCTCCAAGCGTCTCCGCTTGTACCACTGCAATTGCTCTGCAACTACATGTGTATCGGAATCACGCCCATATTTGTTTGGTTTGGTCGGGACTGGCTGTTTTGCTCTTGCACAAGTTTGATTGATGATCCGCGCAGGCTCTCTGAGCCGCGTTCGGAGGTTATTACTCCCTACTAAGAATACTGCTGACTGGTCGTGACTTGATCTACTAGACGACAATTTGTCCATGACTTTTTCCCCAAACAAATGAAATGGGCAGGTGGCAGTCCTGCACTGTGCGCAATCCCCAACGCCCCAACACCTTCGCTAATAAAACGATCAAAGAAACAAACATTAA